ACACCAAATAAACGCAGTCTCATTTCGCAGTTTTAAACATGTTCAATGACTAATCATATATGTGTAAAGCGACAAGTTAATATATGAGGGATTGTTTCAAGACGATCGCTGTGTATCAACAAAATCCATCTTCTCTTCCTAAAGCTACACTTGTTTTTCTGTATAACTTACTAATACTATCACATATTTCATATAGTTTGTAGACCTGAGGGTTCACCTCTTACAACTTTTCGATTGAAAATGAACTTCACAACTTGTTACCACATTACTTGGAGGGATAGACAACCGAGACTGATAATCTTGTGGGAATAATTATGGTTAGGTAAAGAAAAAGAGTAATAATGTAACTTACATGGGGTTTTACTAAGCGTTAGTAACTAGCTTTGTTTGTTGTATATACAGGGGATTTAGAGTGTTGTAAGAGGTGCAATAACTAATGCTATGCATTCAATTAAAAGTGTCATATTGCATAGTTGGATAGTGTACCAAGAACTAATGCTATACATTCAGTCAATTAAAAGTGTCATATTGCATAGTTGGATAGTGTACTAAGAACTAATGCTATACATTCAATTAAAAGTGTCATATTGCATAGTTGGATAGTGTACCAAGAACTAATGCTATACATTCAGTCAATTAAAAGTGTCATATTGCATAGTTGGACAGTGTACCAAGAACTAACGCTATACATTCATTCAATTAAAAGTGTCATATTGCATAGTTGGATAGTGTACCAAGAACTAATGCTATACATTCAATTAAAAGTGTCATATTGCATAGTTGGACAGTGTACCAAGAACTAACGCTATACATTCAGTCAATTAAAAGTGTTATATTGCATAGTTGGACAGTGTACCAAGAACTAACGCTATACATTCTATCAATTAAAAGTGTCATATTGCATAGTTGGACAGTGTACCAAGAACTAACGCTATACATTCAGTCAATTAAAAGTGTTATATTGCATAGTTGGACAGTGTACCAAGAACTAACGCTATACATTCAGTCAATTAAAAGTGTCATATTGCATAGTTGGACAGTGTACCAAGAACTAATGATATACATTCAGTCAATTAAAAGTGTTATATTGCATAGTTGGACAGTGTACCAAGAACTAATGCTATACATTCAGTCAATTAAAAGTGTCATATTGCATAGTTGGATAGTGTACTAAGAACTAATGCTATACATTAAATCAATTAAAAGTGTTATATTCCATAGTTGGACAGTGTACAAGAACTAACGCTATACATTCAGTCAATTAAAAGTGTCATATTGCATAGCTGGACAGTGTACCAAGAACGAATGCTATACATTCAGTCAATTAAAAGTGTTATATTGCATAGTTGGACAGTGTACAAGAACTAACGCTATACATTCAGTCAATTAAAAGTGTCATATTGCATAGTTGGACAGTGTACTAAGAACTAACGCTATACATTCAATCAATTAAAAGTGTCATATTGCATAGCTGGACAGTGTACCAAGAACTAATGCTATACATTCAGTCAATTAAAAGTGTCATATTGCATAGTTGGACAGTGTACTAAGAACTAACGCTATACATTCAGTCAATTAAAAGTGTCATATTGCATAGTTGGACAGTGTACTAAGAACTAATGCTATACATTCAGTCAATTAAAAGTGTTATATTGCATAGTTGGACAGTGTACTAAGAACTAACGCTATACATTCAATCAATTAAAAGTGTCATATTGCATAGCTGGACAGTGTACCAAGAACTAATGCTATACATTAAATCAATTAAAAGTGTTATATTGCATAGTTGGACAGTGTACCAAGAACGAATGTGTTCGGACAATTGTTCGTGAATTAAATGTATTCAGATTCAGTAGACCACGTCACAATGTGTATATATCATACAAACAAGACTATTCTATTTATAGAGTCGAATTATTTACTAGTATTTTATTCAAAACTGTTCCAACAAACAAAAACAACCGTGACAAAAAAACTACTATACGTGACAAAAACCCATAAAAATGATAAAATATTTGCATTTGAAATTGTAGCATAAATATTTGATTTGTTTAATTTTAAACACTTATTCTGTATGTGTTATAATGCAAGTTAAAATTGTAGATGTTATAGTAGTTGGTTGTACTTTATATTGTTTACTTTTTATATCATGAACCCAATTTTCTGGTTATATTTTGGTTTGTACGGAGAAGGTCCAATGATACAAGAATCGCAACTGGAATACCGATGATAATACCTGTCAAACCCTCACCATTTATTAGCCACTGTTTGCCAACTATAAAGCCTTCTTTTTGGGTGTATATACTACCAAACACTGCAAAAGAATACATGTGTAATGTTTATTAGCCACTGTTTGCATACTAAAATGAGTTCATCTTGGGTGTATATACAAACGAATTCAAAATAATACAGGTATAATACTGCATTTGCTCTATAAAAAGTATTTTTCATTTGAACACCCGCAGCACAATTATTTGATAGTTGCTTACAAAAGTGGAAATACGGTATGTACTTAGGAGCTTACCCATTGGATTTATCACATTCATAGTGAAATGCATAACAGTTGCAGGCCACATGGAGTATCCAGAACGAATTGTTATCCACCCAATAGGAAATGCATACATCGCCACGGCAATACACTGCACAAGCACTGTAACCACATCATCGTCGATTTGCAGTCTTTGAACAAGGAGTATCATGACTGGAACATGGAACAAACCCCAAACAAGACCACTATATTTCCGATGAGATATATAATCATGTATTCAGTTGATACAGGCAAAATAATAAATATATATTAGACAGTTATTATTTTTAACAATCAAAAGTTATCAATTTAGTATTAAGCAATCATATATAAACTTTCTCTACATAAACAAACCGTTTTTTTAAACAAACCAATTTTTACAGTCTTTCCGCAAACTTTTGAGAAAATATTCCGAGATAAAAAAACAACAAAACGACAAATTAAAATTAGTGATGTTGTACTTCAAAACGTAAAATTAAAAAGCTGGTCAGAAAATGATTTTTTATTTGGCGATCTTTATGAAAATATCTACAAATATTACTGTGACATCCCACAAAAGCCATCCTTATTGCGAATAAGTTTTAAATTAAACATGGTTACCTGATACCCAATGCAGTAGTTGGTCTATATGCTGACATCAACAGTGGGAGAAGATAACAGCGCCATCCTATTTCTTCCCCAGCAGCCCGTACAAACCCTATCAGTACACTTTTACTGTGAACATGGATGCTGTCAGAATTCAATAGATTACTTGATGTGGCAATAGATCCCCAGCCAACTAGGAGACTCCACACTGCGCATAGTAACGTTATTAGCATATTGATGACAACTGCCAGTAAAGTTGCCATTATTATAATAGAACTATTCTGTACAGGAAAAGTTATAATTAGAAATATTACATATACTATTATGCAATAGTATGCTAGGTATATTCATATATTTGTGAGGTCTACAAACAATGTCATATTATTTCTATTTCGTTCAGCAATGTGCAGAAAACAATGACGCCACCATTTTGGTTACAAGTTCCGGCGGTTGACATCAGTGGACAAAAGAGTGAGACAACGGTACCGACATCGGTGTGACTGCAGTTGACTTTAGGTGTCGCTATTTCCATTTTCCTATTCGTTTATTTTATTTTATCGAAGAATCACTGAACACATCTCCTGCATTTCACATGTAACTGGAAGGCGCCATCATAATATAGGGGTATGTATCTGCAATCAAGTTGCGAAACTATTCACCAATTGTCGATTTAATTACGAGTGGATTTAAATATTTCAACTTACATGGCATTTAAATCCATGTCAGGCTGTCAGTGATTTTTCTCAAAATAAGTGGATATATCAGTTTTGAATCCCTTTGAATTTAAATCGTCAATATTTAAATCGTCAATGATTTAAATCCAAAACGAAGTCAGAAAGAAGGATCATAATTAAATGGTAAGTAATTTTACGCACGCGGCATAGACACAATTGGAATATTATTATTATTAATTTATGGGAGTTGTCTGATTATTAATTTGCCCACGAGGATTTAAATCGTCAATATTGACGATTTAAATTGGACATGTTTACCTATTTTTAAAAACTGCACGGTCAGACCGACGAAGATTTAAATCGAATATATTCGTATATTAAAAAAAAGGTTACGGCCAGCCAAGCGTGAAATCAAATCATCAATAACAGTTTCCTGGTTGTGGTGAAATGAGAATATATCCAACAAATCCTATATCCCATGTGTTTCTATACAAATATATACGCACGATTTAAAGTGGAATTAAATCGGATATATTTTGTACCATAAAGCGTACCATTAGAATCTCCAAGGTCGCGGATTGAAAACAAAATGCACCGGAAAAATCATGCCTATTTCTCAGGAAAAATATTACACAAAAGAAATGAAAAAATATTACAGCGAATTCAGCATTGACAAAATAGCACAAAACTAAGTGAAGGAACAAAATATTTCTGCAATCGCCCCTAACCCCTAATATTATTGGTATTTTGATATTTTTTAGAGATATAAAAAAAATGATAATCAATTAAAAAAGCATTGTTTAGCAATAAAACTACCGGTATATGCATTAGATAGTTTCATTATTTTGCGAAATAAATACATAACAGACCTTTTTAAAAGACTGTTGCCGTTCAGTTCCAACCAAAAGATTCTCGACAAACGAAACAATGTCAGTTACGTTAAAAATCAATGCAACTGTTGACGGGAGGAACATTGTTAGCGCTAACTTCGTAAAACTACATTCCCGACAACTGTAAACATAAACAGCTGTTAGTGATATTATAATGAATGCGTACGTCCATGCTACGTTGCGAGCCGACATGATGTTTGCCGATTAAAGCTCTGGGTCATTCAAAACGAGACGTTGACCCAAGATATACTTCGCCTAGCTTCATATGCAGCTGTCTTCTTCATCGTTTTGCTATAAATGCAACTGTTAACACTGCATACAACAATCACATGAAGCAAACAATATACCGAACACAGGAATTCGTTTAAACGTGGAGGCGTTTTATTGACCCGGAAGTAGTTCAACCAGGCATGGGCTCTACAGGAGACAACGTGTTTTTTCGTTGCTGAACTTCGCTCTGCTTTTTTACCTGAATGAGTACTACCCATTTGCTATTTTGGGGGTTATGCATATATTTTACTGGAATGCTGAAGTATTATCATGGGTAAGAATAAAAATAAAAAGTTTAAGTCGAAGAAACCTCAACCTACTGGACTTTCCAGCGTGAAAGATGCCGAGGAAGAGGCAGCCGAGTTGACCCCTCCTCCGTCATTTCTACAAACTCAAATATCATCGTTGTTAGACAAGGTAAGCATATATTCACTGTATACGAACATTAGTTTGCATCAACTAGCTTTATTGAAAATGTGTAACTGAAAACGTGAATCATGCTGAGCTGCACGAAAATACTATCATCCAAATCCATGCACATTTCACAATGCGAAAACTGAAATGTGTAACCGTAACTAAAAACCTCATTGTGATAAAAGCGCCCAAATAACCCTTTTGATTTAGATCATATCTCCCATAAACACATGTACGCTAAACAAGACTGGTATAAAACCCGGACATTATACACCCGTCATGTTCACACTGGACATAGACAAGTTAGAAAATGATGCGCCGTATTTTAACTGGGTACCTGGCCACTTTAAACAGTGTTTGAAAAAAAAAAAATCAGCAAACATGACCATGAATCGAGGGACAACTTTTACCTCACCTGTACATCAAATTCAAATATATGAGGCATGGTGTCAGATTGTTGAATCATCTGTTTGCATGATATAAAAGGTAAGGTGATAGTTGTCCCGCTGCAGTTTACATTCCTGATTCACCCCCCACCCCTTGAATTTAATGGAACCTCCATAATTTAATTCATATTGAATTTGGTTTTACTCCTATATAAAGTCAAATGCATGAATAGATATGTTAAGAACTGACCAGTGTTTTCTTTCCCACCTAAATGAAAGTATACTCACACATGAAATTAGAAATTGGCCAAGTTTTATTGTCTCACAACCAAATGAAATCAAGCATTTACTGGATAACTGTTGGCTATGGTATATGGCAAATGAATATATTAAAATGTGCATATTGGGTAACTCTCCCATGTAATGTAATGTCTTCCCATCTACCAAATGATTTCAAAACCCACATGCTAGATATGTCATATGGGAAACTATGTAAACTGACAAGTGTTTGCCTCTTATGTTCCAAATACTAGTTGAATATCGCAATAGCATAAACAAAAATCTATGTTACAGGGTAAGACAATAACAATTGGGGGGGGGGGTGTCTAGAATTTTTGGTCTCAGAGGCAGTAAGAACTAAGTACAATGGATTAGGGGGATATGTCCTATATAAACTACTTCACTAATTTTTTTGTTCTGAAGATACTAAGTTCTGAAGAAGAAGACAGAGCTTGTGGCTGTTCCAGTTTGGCCATTTTGGTATTCAATGTTGATGCCATACCATTATTACTGAAAAATGACATTGTTAAATGTGTGGGACCGTTACTGATTGACAAAAGTCTGGCAGTGAGAGAAGGTGCTGCAGGAGCACTCAGGTTAGTAAGGTTTGATATTTTGTTATGTCCCTTTTATATATGGTGTAGATAATTTGATGAGTAAATGAAGACAATCTTCAACCCATTCATCATTTTCAACCCATTCACCATCTTCATCCCATTCACCATCTTCAACCCATTCACCATCTTCAACCCATTCACCATCTTCAACCCATTCACCATCTTCAACCCATTCACCATCTTCAACCCATTCACCATCTTCAACCCATTCACCATCTTCAACCCATTCACCATCTTCAACCCATTCACCATCTTCAACCCATTCACCATCTTCAACCCATTCACCATCTTCAACCCATTCACAATCTTCAACCCATTCTCTATCAAAAGCCTACTCACCATTGTCAATCCATTCACCATCATAATCGTCAAACCATTCAAACCATTCATCATTGGCAACCTAATTTACCATCATCGTTAACAAACCATGTAATATGTTCAACCAGAGGTACATTACTTGGGGTTTGCAACTACGGTGACATGATACCAAGATCCTGTTTCAATCTCGCTCTCTTGCATAAGCTTTCCAACTCAGAAAAATGTGAATGCGCATGCCTGAGGTAACTAGGATACTGGGATGTCCCAGTGGATCAAAATAGCTGCTCACTATATGACGGATTACGATAACTATATTTTTTGTACATATCTGATGTATTACATTTTTTCACTATGAATGTGGTAATACATGTTTTATTGTTTTATTCCAAACCGCCTATGTCATGTCAGAAGGTCGTAGCATCAGTCTCGCTATCTACGAGATGAGACTTGAATGGGATCTTGACATGTCACTATACGGTACTATGCGCGTTGCAAACCCCAAGTAATGTACCTCTGGTTCAACCCAGTCACCATCAAAAGCTATAAGTCTTAAATCTTACCAAACATTTGATTGAGACAAATATGTAATGCACTTTAACTGCTTAAATTTATCATTCAACTTGTAGAAATGAAAATACATAAAACAAACAAAAATTTTTTTTTTAAGGAATTTAAGTGTAAGTGGAGGTTATGAAGTATGTGACAAAATGATAGAAGATGACGTTCTGACATCACTAGTGGTTTTACTTAAACAGGTTAGTCTGGTTGTAACTCGTGTGAATACTTATCAAGCCTGAAATTATCACCTGAAAAGAGCACTTTGCATTGACAATGACTTGTTGCCTAGGTTACTCATGAATATTTCTAATGTTTTTCATGTTAGTGTCTTGAAGATGTCCAAACAATATCAAATAAAAAAAACAAGAAAGATGATGCTCTTATTGGAATAATGGTTCAAGGAATGCATTTACTTTGGAATCTTTGGTAAGACCCCTGAATATATAGTTTTGTTTCGTTTCCAATTGCACGAGTCTGTCTGGATTTTTTGTGAATTTCTCATCGTTTCTTCCATGCATAAAAATTTGTATGATAAAGGTTTGCAACTAGTGTAATATGCCATTCGAATTGCATAAATTGGTAGACCGTCACAAAAATACAAGAAAAATGTACAATTCTAGAAATATTAATAAAAATGAGTTAGTAAAAGGTTTAATTGTGTTCATGTTTTTTCTAATGTCCTTTCTTATTTGCGGAGGATGTGTTTATGTTCTTGATTATTTTCTTATTATTTATTGCAGTGAAAGCTCCTCTGTAGCTGTGAATATATTCAATAAAGAGAACCTATTGCCTACATTAATGCAGTGCCTTTGTAATCGTGAACTTTATGGCACTGAGCTGACTATCCCGACAGGTATGGACTATCCCATGATTTATTATTGGCGTATGAAGTAGTATGTGTCATACACCCAATGCAACAATTACAGTATTTGCATGATATCTGGGTCAGAAAGTGTTCCCAACAGCCGAACATTGCCAAGCATTTATGTAGATTTGGCTGTGATCAAATTTGTCAGCAGCTTAGAGCATCAATTCCATTGAATTGCGAAAATGATTTCTTTCCAATGTGGCCTACCTAATTATTCGAAGAACCAAGTCAGAGGATTTATTTGATGAACACCCACTTCTCAAGCTGTCCCGTCACTTTTTTCACTGCATCCAAGCAACATGGACAATTTCACACTTCGTAGGCTAGTTGTGTTGGGCATGTTCTAAAGCAGGATTTGATACCCCATTGCATGTTGGGATTTTAGGTATTCCAGATGAAAAAATAAATCACTCAACATGCATAACTCGTGTACACCATAACTGATAATTTCAATTCATGGTTCATTTCACAACACAAGTTCATGAATTATTAAGTTCAACAGATAATTATCTTTAAGTTTGCATTGATATGATATGATATGAAATGATATGATGGTTTATTACTGAAATAGGAAAAAAAATATATATTTACAGGTAAAAGGAATTTGAAATAGCTTTAGGAAGCTAATCTTGTCAAATTCCTTTAAACATAAATAAATATACAATAATTTAAATATTTGGCGCTAAACTGAATGAATAAATAAATAGAAAAAATGCAGCCATAGCCATTGTGATAAAACTCTTCATTTTGTTCTAGTAAGTGGTGGAGTAGTAAAATTATGTACCTAGTATTTTTGTACTGTGAGAATTCACTCGAGTACCAAAAATGAATTAACGGTAGTGTTGAAAAAAGTATTTTTTGGTTATGGGATTCACACCACAAACTCACAAAGACACACTTCAGAATTAGAAACCCTACAAAGGCTATGTTTTTTCAATCTTGCAAGTAGTATCTACCTATCCAGGGGCACTTTGAAACAAATCACGCTGTCATTTTAGGCATTCCTAATATTTAATTTGTTCACAATGACCCAGGAATGATTGGCTGATTTTGAAATCATGTTTTGATTATTTCATCCATTTCAGCTCAGTGTCTTCATATAGTGACAGAGAATAACATGCCAGCATCCCAGCAACTAACCACTACGGATATGTTGTCTTTATTGGAGTCTACCCTGATGTCACCAGGAATTACTTACCAAAATACCTTATTGAAAACACTTATTGCA